GAGAGAGAGAGAGAGAGAGAGAGAGAGAGAGAGAGAGAGAGGGAGGGAACCTCGTCGTTAATTATCCTCCAAGTGGCCTTCACTTGCCGAGAGGACATCAAAGTTCCGTTAACCACGGCTAATCCGACGACGCAGCGTCGTAAATATCATTTACACGGAACCGAGAGAGTCGGAAGGTTTCAGTCGAATTTGACGTTTCACGGTTCGATGACGTTCGAAATCGTAGTGCCGAAAACTTGTCGGCCAGTGTCCTCCAGTGACTGCTCGGAGAGAAAATTTCCTTCCCTTCGAGCGGAGAAAATCGGCCGTAGCTCCCTCGGAAGCTTGAAACGCGATCACCAACAGAGCAGGGCTCTCGCAGACAATTTTACGAGAACGAGCACCGGCCGAAGCGCCGCCGCCGAGAAACCGCGACGAATCTGAACTTTCGGCCAGATCGTAAATAAAATTCACGAGCCCGGACCCTCCCACGCTTTGCGTAACCGCTTTATTATACCATAAATCAAACTGTCTCTGCGCGCGAATGCCCGAGAATTACCGAACGGAGGGCCTCCTGTTCCTGAAAAATTCTCGTCGGAAAAAGGAAAAGGGACGGACAGAACCAGAGAGAGAGAGAGAGAGAGAGAGAGAGAGAGAAAGAGAGAGAGGAAAGAAGTCTGCTCTGGGTTCCGAGGTGAAACGATAGTCCTCTGTCGCTTTAATCCGACGATCCTCTGTCCACACTATTAATTCTAATACGGTTTACCGTGGCCGCTCGAGGACGTAAAAAAAAGAGCGTTGTTACAACAACGGTCCAAACTTTGGTTCATGGTCTGGACGATCTTTTTTTCGTTCGTCGCGTATACGATGGAAAAAAAAAACATAACACGAAATTCATCTCGCGAGAATTCTAACTCGATGATCGGGATCAAAAACATTTTGTGCCGGTGGCTGGAAACTACCCGGTCGTTTAATTATTCCGATTAATCGGATTTTCAAGGGATCAACGAACCATCACGATCAATCTCCGCGAGTGTGGAATACTCCTCTGCTAATCTACTTGCATCCCCTTTAAATTTACAATCCCCCTGAATCCGCGTATAATTCGGGCGTGCCTCCCAAAGAACTTGTCGTCACTCTCTGCTCCTTTTTCCCTTCCTCTCTTCCGTATCCGGCGCATTAGAGGGTGTTCCGGGCGTGAAGGTGTCCGTCATAATTTGCCAGCCGGCGCATAATCCCCGTGACAAAAGGCCGACAAAGTGACGGCTGTTACTGGCCGCCGGGCCTTTATATTCAGCCTAAGCTAAGATTCCGGTAGCAGGTAAAGCGTTTAAAGATTCCGGCCATCCGAGTCGGGATAGATGAATCACGACACGGCTAAGCTCACTTTCCTACGAGATGAAACTCTCCCTTCTCGGTCCCTCTTTCGTCGTTTCGTTTGTTTTGCCCATAGCCTATTTTGCATTTATCATAGCCAAACCATAAACCTTCGTTCGTAGTTTACCGAAGATTTTACACGTTGGATCTATGATATGCAACTTGGAATCGGTCGGCGATTTAA